AAAAAATTTGATAAATAAATTATTCCTTCTTTCGTTGCATCACTGTTTTTACCGTATGGACCAAAGCTAACTCTTGTTAGATTTACGAATGACCGCACTGAAATTTCGCTTTGCCCTTCGTTTCTATGCCAGGACTGTTACTGACTTTTAAAAACAATACGAACGTTAATCTTGCATATGATTGGGTAGAGTAATGAGCCAGAACTGCATGCCCACAAAAAGCCCTTTACGATTCCCGTGAAGCAGATTATCCGCATTCAGTTACGTTTTCCTAGAGAAGCGAAAGAGATGTTGAAGGATTCCTTAAAACTTTAGCAGTTTATTCCAATGTATATGGGCAGCTCGATATTTGGACAACAAGGGTTTTAAAACTGAAGACGATCGAAATTGTTCAGACCTTACGTAGCAGCAGTTAGACATTTCAGTTACTAGCGTTAGCTTCAAAAGATGGCTGATATTACAAGCAGAAATGAATTTAAAATTTTCCGGAATAGAATGTCTAATGCTTCATAACCCAAATATATTCAGTTACAATGGCAATGAAGTCGCGAATGTGACTAAATACTATTAGAAGTATGCAGGCATAAGTTACCGGGTTCTAGAAAAGCGGCGAACATAGTCACGTGTACTTGAACTTATCACAATGGGTGCGCCACTAATGATTACATAACAATAAGCGCATTCAGCGTCTAGTCAGTGGTTACGCGGTCTTTGAACATTTAACTTCTCGGTTCAAGTTCAAGGAATAAAGTAGGCTTTTTTTAACCTAAACTTATGGTTACAGCGAGTTCATTGATTAGGGCAATTATCTTGCCATGAAATTTGACAGTTTTATGTCAATTCCACTCGAAAATCAAAAATAACCCCTGGCTATTGATCATATTCTCAAGAAAGTAGGAGTCTCCGAGCCTTCCTTTGAGGCTTGCATATGTCAAAAACTTAAGGGTTTTCTCTCACGCAAGATATTGATTTATTGTGAATGAAGTAGCCACGGAATATGATCCATTCGTGTATAGCAGTTCAAACTAAACTGTCAAAACAGTGGCACGAAGACTGGAATAAACAGATTCAAACCTAACGCCCAGAACAGCAATAGATTTATACATTGACTGTTACTGGAATTAATTTCCGTCAGAAATCTTACTACATATCCTTTGCTCGTCATGACTGTTTTCCTTAACCTTTGAAGTATCTTTCCTGGTTTCTTAGTTGAAATTTGATGTTGATTTGCACTTCGAGCCTTACTTTATATCATGCCTGGAGTTAGCCCGTGAGATGTTTGAGGCACCCTGACACGTTATTACCGCATTACTGTGCAGTTTCTAAGAGTTTGTCGTCATGATAATTTGTTCTAAGTCTGTCAAGTTTCCGTGAAAAAGTGCAGGCGTTGTGAAACACGAATCTCTCAGAGCCCTTTTTTGCTTCAATAAAAACCGCTTGAAAACCGATTATTTTACTTCAGTTATTATTTCGAACCCTGTGTTACTGAAAGAGTCAAACAAATTAAATTTTCATCAAAGACAGGGAGTGTTTAAAGATTAGACATTGAAATTGATCTTAAATCTGCAACCGTCCATAACAACCGAACTGTTTTTAGAAACAAAAGTTGCTGTTGTAACGGCTTTCTCGGAAAGAAAGCGACTCTGTAGAAACTTCTAGAAGTTTGGAGCCCTGTTGTTGAGCGTCTATAAAAATTGTATCTCTTAATGATAGCAATTTCGAGTGCTTCTCTAAAGACGCCATCTTCTTTACCCAGAACAACTGCAAAGCTGACGTTAACCCCCTTTTCCATCGTTGAAACATATCACTAAATTTGCCCTGGTGTTGGATTTCGCTGAAATAAGGCAACGAATTAACATTGCCTCTTTATTAGAATCCTGGCGCCGCGTTGGCGCTGCGTTGGCGCCGCGTTGGCGCCGCGTTGAGTAGCTATAAATTAAAGGTTTTTCGATTCATGCTATCATTTCAGTGGGTGCGCACTTGCCTACCCAGAGTTTACACATAGCTGGCGCTATTCTAAAATCAAAGTAGAGGTTCTCCAACATTGAGGTAAGTAATGTTTCAGAATATACCACATGTGGATCGCATCCGAACTGACTATATCCTGAGAAAAACGATAACGCTCAATTTGCCACGATAACAAACTGCAACCTATTTACGATATAAGCGCTATCATAGATAGAAACTAGGCAAGTGTAGGTCGGTAGTGAGAAGGCTCGAGTTTGGACCCAAGTTCGAGTTCGTTTTGGAATTCGAGTTGGACTTTGAGTTACGTTCCCAGTTTAGTAAAAAAGTGTTGACGGATCTGCAATTTTAAATCTTTTCTTTGGCGGCATTTTTTTTCACAGTCTTAAAACATATGATTTCGTTTCTTGAACAATTTGATAAATAAATTATTTCTTGTTTCGTTTCATCACTCTTTTAACCGTATGAGACCAAGGCTAACTCTTGTTAGACAGCACTGAGATTTTGCCATGCCCTTCGTCTATACGCCAAGACTATTACTGACTGTTAAAAACAATGGGAACGTTAATCTTGCATATGATTGGATAGAGTAATGAGCCAGAACTGCATGCCCACCAAAAGCCCTTTATGTTTCCCGTGAAGTAGATTATCCGAAGAGATGATGAAGGATTCTTTGAAACTTTAGCAGTTTTTTCCAATGTATATAGGCGGTTCGATATTTGGATAACAAAAGTTTTAAGACTGAAGACGATCGAAATTGTTCAGACCTTACTTTGCAGCAGTTAGACATTTTAGTTACGAGCGTTGGCTTCAAAAGATGGCTGATATCACAAGTAGAAATGGATTAAAAATTTTCCGGGATAGAATGTCTAATGTTTCATAACCCAAATATATTAAGTCACAAAGCAATGGAGTCGCGAGTGTAATGAACTACTGTTAGAAGTTTGCAAACATAGGCAGGTACAATTAAACTTATCATAACGAGCGCACCACTAATGATTACATAACAATATGCACATTTAGGGTGTGGTCACTCATTACGCGGCCTTTGAACATTTAACTTCTGGGTTCGAGGAAAAGTATCAAAATAGGCTTTTTATCGTTACGGCGAGTTCATTGATTGAGGCAATAATTTTGCCAGGAAATTTGACAGGTGTATGTATATACTTTGAAAGTATAATTTGTCACGATAACAGACTGCAACCTATTTACGATATAAGCGATATAATAAATAGAAACCAGACAAGTTTATGTCAGTAGTGATGGAGGCTCGAGTTTGTATCCAAGTTCGAGTTGGACTTCGAGTTACGTTTTGAGATTACTGAAAATGTGTTGACGTGTTTGCAAGTGATTTTAAACCTTCTCCTTGACGGCATCTTTTTTTTACTGACATAAAACATATGATCTCGTTCTTAAAACCATTTGATAAATATATCATTCCTTCTTTCGTTTCATCACTCTATTTACCGTATGAGACCAAAGCTAACTCTTGTTAGATTTACTAATGACCGCACTAAAAGTTTGCTTTGCCCTTCGTTTATATGCCAGGACTGTTACTGATTGTTAAAAACAATGCGAACGTTAACCTTGCATATGATTGGGTAGAGTAATGAGCCAGATCTGCATGCCCACAAAAAGCCCTTTACGATTCCCGTAAAGCAGATTATCCGCATTCAGTTACGTTTTCCTAAAAAATCGGACGAGATGATGAAGGATTCTTTGAAACTTTAGCAGTTTATTCTATTGTATGTGGGCGGCTCGATATTTGAATAACCAAAGTTTTAAGATTGAAGACGACAGGCCTTACGTAACAGCAGTTAGACATTTCAGAAACATATTAGGAAAACAAGCAGATTTGGATTGAAAATTTTCCGGGATAGAACGTCTAATGTTTCATAACCCAAATATATTTAGTTACAACAGCAATGGAGTCGCCAGTGTGATGAACTATTGTTGCAGGCGTAAATTACCGGGTTATAAATAAGCGGCGAACATAGGCAGGTGCAATTAAACTTATCAAAACGAGCGCGCCACTCATGATTACATAACAAGATGCGCATTCGGGGTGTGGTCACTCATTACGCGGCCTTTAAACATTTAAGTTCCCGATTCGAGTAGAAGTATTAAAATAGGCTTCTTTAACCTAGACTTATCCTTGCAACGAGTTCATTGATTGAGGAAGTGATCTTGCCATGAAATTTGACAGTTTTATGTCAATTCCACTCTAAAATCAAAAATAACCCCGGGCTATTGATCATATTCTCAAGAAAGAAGGAGTCTCAGAGCCTTCCTTTGAGGCATGCATGTATCAAAACTTAAGAGTTTTCTCTCACTCAAGATATTGATTTATTTGGAATTAAGTAGCTACAGAATATGATCCATTCGTGTGTTGCAGTTCAAACGAAACTGCCAAAACAGTGGCGCGAAGACTGGAATAAACAGATTTAAAGTTAACGCCCAGAACAGTAGTACAATTATGTATTGAATGTTACTGGAATTAATTTCCGTCAGAAATCCTACTACATATCCTTTGCTTGTTCATAACTGGTGTTAGCCCGTGGGATGTTCGAAGCAACCTGATACGTTATTACCGCATTATTGTGCAGTTTTTAAGAGTTTTTCGTCACGATAATTTGTTCTTAGTCTGTCAAGTTTCCGTGAAAAAGCGCAGGAATTTGTTGCAAAACACGAATCTTTCAGAGCCCCTATTTGCTTCAGTAAATACCGCGCTTGATAACCGAATATTTTAATTCAGTCATTATTTTCGTACCCTGTGTTACTGAAAGAGTCAAACAAATTAAATTTACATCAAAGGCAGGAGATGTCTAAAGATCAGACATTAAAACTAATCTTAAATCTGCAACCAAACATAACAGCTAAATTGTTTTGGGAAACAAAGTTGCTGTAGTAACAGCTTTCTCGGAATGACCGCACTGAAATTTCGCTTTGCCCTTCGCTTCTATGCAAGGACTATTACAGACTTTTAAAAACAATGCGAACGTTTCTCTTGCATATGATTGGGTAGAGTAATGAGCCAGAACTGTATGCCCACTAAAAGCCCTTTTACGATTCCCGTGAAGCAGATTATCCATATTCAGTTACGTTTTCCTAGGGAAGCGGAAGAGATGATGAGGGATTCCTTAAAACTTTAGCAGTTTTTCCAATATATATGGGCGGCTCGATATTTGGACGAGAAAGATTTTAAAATTGAAGACGATCGAAATTGTTCAGGCCTTACTTACTTGTTCAGGTCTTAGCAGCAGTTAGACATTTCAGTTACTAGCGTTAGCTTCAAAAGATGGCTGATATTACAAGCAGAACTGAATTAAAATTTTCCGGAATAGAATGTCTGCCACGTCATAACCCAAATATATTCAGTAACAACGGCAATGAAGTCGCGAATGTGACTAAATACTATTAGAAGTATGCAGGCATAAGTTACCGGGTTATATAAAAGCGGCGAACATAGTCACGTGTAATTGAACTTATCACAACTCTTCCGAATTAGATGCTTCAGAAATGAGCTGTTCCACAGGCCCTCAACAGGAATTGCAAAGGTTGAATTCGAGAACAAGTGGGAAAAGACTGGGTCGTCTTTAGAGGAAACTGAGATTTATGTTGTATGAAAGAGAATCAAAGAGGAAATGGAGGCGCTGAAGAACAATCCCATTGATCACGATACAAAGCGACGTTCGGAGGAACAAGCCGAAAAATGGAACAAAGTACAGGAACAACAGAAGAGTAGCCTTCGCCACTGTCTACCGCGCGAAATACCAGTGGAACTTGTGTTTGGCCGCAACAAACACATAGAGCGTATTAAGAAACTGGCTGAGGGTGGGAAAACCCCAGTTGTCCTGATTACTGGTGGACCTGGATTTGGAAAGACGACTGTGGCTAAAAGAGTGGCGCATGAATTAAAAAAATCAGAGACAAAGGTAACTGTGCTGTTTTGTAGTTTACAAACGAAGACAGATTTCAACGAAGTGGTCGTAGGTATGATCAACTCGTGTGGTAAAGCCAGCACGCAAGTACGAGAGAATCCGGGGCAATGGTTAAGAAACTGGAGCATACATGTCCCAAACCAGGTCACGTTTGTTCTTGACAATGCAGATGGCGTCCTCGAGTCCAGCGATCGAGAATCATTTATAAGCGTCTTATCTGACATGAGAATGTTATCGGTGGAAAAGGTAGGATTTGTCATAACTTCCAGGAAAACCTTTAAGAATACGGACTTGCAGCCCCTCGAAGTTAGATTGGGCCCTTTGTCCGCCGCACAGGCAAAAAAACTCCTTCTTTCGAAGGTGCAAGTATGTGAAGGTGCCCAGCAGCACCCTTCCAGGGCAGATTACATCGCCAAAGATCTATGTGGCTGCGTTCCTCAGGCACTTTGCATTGTTGGATCCTTGCTATCAGACTATCCTGAAGAAACGCTCATAGAAAGCCTTGAAAAGAAACCATTAGCGGTTCTAGAGGACGACGAAGGATCTGTTGAAAAGGCCATTAAGACTTCGTTTGACCTTTTGAAGAAACCCGATCAAGAGGTTTTCATCCTCCTATCCTTGTTCCAAGGTCCATTTGATACAGATGCAGTCCAAGCTGTGACGAAGGCGCAATGTTCAACCTCCGGGGCTTTGCCTATCTCCATCCTGCGCTCATTAAAATACAGATCTCTTGTGGAGGAGCTCTATTCGTGCAGATATCAGATGCATCCGCTCATTCAATCATACGCAATGAAGATTGGTCGAGATAAGTATGACAAACTTTGGACAATGGGCAGAAAACTGGCTTGTGTACACTTCATGTTGCGCCTCGCGAAGAATGCCGATATTTACTGGAGTAAGGACACCTGCAAGGCTTCCCTTATATCATTTCAAGATGAGAAGGACAATTTCGAACATTTTCTTCAAATTTATGCTCAAGCTAGGGAAGAAAAAGATCTAGAGATCATAAAAGACTGTGAGCCCTTTCTGGACAGTTTTCCTTACAAATGCATGTATCTGGAGAGATGTCTTCATCCAAGATTCTACACTGAGATCCTTGAAAGATTATTGGAAACTTTTGACTCTGCAAGCCAACCAGTGTATGTAGTAGATCTTTTGTGTCTTCTTGGTAATGAATATAGGAAGAAAAAAGAAAAAGAAGGAAAGAAAAAGTACGAAGAAGTCATGGTTGAAGCCAAAAAAATTCATTTGAGGAATCCTGCTGCGTTTGAGTCGAAACCGTTATCAGAACTCCATTTTCACAACAGCAATGCCCGCTTCCTTAAAGGGAACGAACAGAAAGAAGAGGAGTGTACAAAGGCTTTGAAAATATGCACAGAAAAATATGAACAGCTTCATGATCACCCGGAAACAGCAGCGACCCTCATCTTTTCAGGAATTGTTTCAAAGCTCTGTAAGAAGTTCGAAGAAGCCATAGATCGGTCTAAAAAAGCGTTGGATATCTTTCAAATAAAACTTGGGAACCACTATATGACTGCTCTAACCCTGAAGATTACCGGAGACCTTTACGTGTCTCTTGATGAAAAGTACGAAGTCGACGGCCTTGAGTGTTATAAAGCTGCTTTGAAAATGTTCGACGACCTAGGAATGGATGAAAACAAAGAGAGCATCTTGGTGCGAAAGAATCTTGGAACTTGTCACATGAAAAGTGGGAACTTTGACGAGGCAATGAAGCTATTCTCGGAAGCAGAGCAAATTGCCAAACGAGAATTAGAAGAGGAACATCATTGGAAGGTCCTTGTTGAGACTTCGTTGGCCCTCTTGCTTGAGAAGATGAATAACGTAGAGGGGCGATAGACAAGATGCACAAGGGACTGGAGATGGGCAAAAGCATGAATCTACCCGTGAACATGATGGGAGGAGAAGAGATGATTAAATTTCTCAACCGGTATCCAGGGAAGTTCCCCGAGACTGAACTCCCAAGTAAGTAAATATGATGTTTTAACAGTGGTCAATGTTCTTATTAGTTAGCTGTTCCACATGAAGCAGCATTGATAGTTTCTTCCTTACCATCGAAGGAAATTTCAAAAATTATCCTAGCTGTTTGATATGAGGAGGGAAGGATTTAGGCCTCACACTCCATGGAATTGCAGAGTTAGCATAAAAGCGCTCATAGTTAAATTAAAAACGTCTCATATTTTATATTTCAAAGCTTACTCTCTAGATAAGAACTTAAACATCCATAGTAAACGCCATCTGATCTGAATGTCAACATTCTTTATGAATTAATGTCAAAGAAACTTCTTTTACTCGCGCGCTACATTTTCCTCAAAACTCCCTCTAGCCTCTTTACGAGATTGCAAGATACTCATCAAAAATTATGGTTAAGTTTAGACGCTTCGGAAAAAACATTTAGGCATGTCGAGCTTTAAGTAAAGTATACAGTGAGAGAGAAGTTTTACCCTTGTTAAATTGCACCGTGATGATTCATTATACCTACTGCGCTTAATCTTTCAGGAAACGTTGTTAGTCGAATAGGCCATCGAGACGCACGGCCCCACGGGAAGTGGAAAGCTGGCTCTGGAAGAGGATGGAATCAATCAGGAAATTAAGTAAAGGGGTTGTTACAAATGCAGAAAAATTTAAATGGGAGCAATGAAAAACTTGGAAACTTCTAAACTGAGTCTTAGAGGTGCGCAAACCATGATGATATGGAATCAATCTTTGAAATGACTGCAGCAAATCGAATTTACAGTGATAGCTTTATATTTCACACATGAAGATAACTATACAACAAGAGAAAACAGGGATCTCTAAGATACAACCAATTAACTTTCGTGTGGTTCTCTTTTTTTCTTTTGTGTTAAAAATATTACCTATTCAATCGTTTTGAAGCGAGAGGCAGATTACCGACGATTAACGATTAACCAACTTCTGTCAGCGTGTCTCGCGCCAATTATTTTAACAAAATAGATTCCATCGAGTTGCGCGTCTCTTCAGTAATAGTTCACAGATGACGTCAAATGTGGTAAGAACCGAAAAGTGAGACACGAAGCCCAGCCGAGTGTTGCTCGTGTCTTTACCACATTCAGTTATCATCCGTGAACGATTACTTTACAGAATCACGACAACACGGAGTCTATTTGTTTTATGCATGTTATATGATGAAAAGAGTTGTTAATATTTGTATTCACTACATTCAAAATTATTTTTCAGATTGTAATTCAGCCGGCTATACTTTATCTTTTGGCTGGAAGGGGTAGTTTTAAGGGTGATTTTAGGAAATGTAAGACTCCGATTAGTAAGGAAATCGATAGCTGAATTTTTCTTGTACATAATGTAGACTCAGGCGAAAAGGAAAATATCTTTGAGCATAATCAGTTAGTTACTCGGTATAGAAACTTGTTTTACTTCGTTCAAGCAGAAATGTGCCGAAGGTTATAAGCATCAATGTTTTATTACTTTCAAAGTCAAGCTTACCTTCAAACTCACCAGGATGCTTAAATGTATCTGAGGAAGATTTTTAGCGACTTTTAACTTTCTGTCCGCTTGATTGTTTTAACCGCAGTATGGGTTTGTCTTCCTCGAGATTGTGCAAATTATTGGTTTTTCATATCAAATATTAAGCCAGAAATCTTAACTCGTTTCTCTTATTTGCCGTGTAGGCACACGAAATATTAAGTATTTGCAGAAGCCACAAATGTCGCAAAGAAGCTGATGTGAATTTTAAATGTGATAAAAATTTGTATTTTTGTACAATACAGTCTTTGCCTTTTACTCAGAGCTGTTACATTTCCACTGTGTTGTCTAATTATAAAAATTGGATACCTTTACATAATTGCTGGTAGCAACAATAAGTAAATTAGTGAGTAAAGATTCTATCAACGAATATTTCCTGTTTTTGATGAGAAGGTATAGTTCAATGTCTTAGGGAAAATTAAGTGATTTTTCCATGAGTTTTTTTGGAGCATATTTTATACTTTTTTCAATATTTTAGCCGTTCTTAATTCATTCGAGTTTTTTTATTGTAATGTTTTAAGATAAAAGCCAACAGTAAGTTCTTTCAACTACCAACATGTACCTATGGCTTTGTTCTCGCCGCTAAACATCCGTCCTTTTGTGATTTTATTCTTAGTGGACATTGTTAAGTACACATTCCTTGTAGCGACCTTTTCTGGTAAATTACTTCTCAAGGAAGTTGCTAGCTGTAAATTAGTCCTTTTCATGCGATAATTTTTCTCGTTGCTACTTGTTCAAACTTAACACCAACATCGCTTCTATAGGCACAAATTTTAATTAAGTTCTCACCTTTACTTGCTAAGATATACAATCAAGCAATTGTAGATTTAGGGAATAGAACCACGCGCTCGATAGTGCATAAAGAGGTCTATTGTAAAGCTTTTTCGATTACATAGACGACTGCGTGGCGATTGCATTGACGGCTGTGTGGCGATTAAGAAGTTGAGAACGGCAGAGGTCATGTCGTTTCCCGACAGGAACTAAAATAAACTTACTATGGAACCAAACGCTGTCTCATCCTTGACGTTCGTAGCAAGCTCGCTTGAAGCAGGTCACCGTGAGCCAGAAAACCGTAACGAGTTTTCGTTCCCGCTGCCAAGTGGTCTCTACCGAGCTATTTTCCCCTGTTATCGTTTTGTTCCCCGCAAAAGTCTAGCTAGTGCGAGATATCGTGTCTATTGTCACAAGTAAGGAACGGGATGTGGGTGTAAACTGTTACCGTGAACGCTTAGGGCTGTTAAAAAAAGTAATGAAATAAGGGAGAACAGGTTTTGTGAAGATACTTCTGTAAGACTAAAGTAAAAACCAGAAACACCATAACTTCATACATGTTCTGTTTCCATTATTCATTGTAGACAAGTCCGAACTTTATCGTGGAAAAGACTGAGACTGGAATGAGACCCCGATGCTTCAATTTGTTATAACTATTTTCGTTGCGAACCTTGGTTATTTTTATTTATTTCACTGATAACCAGTAAAAAGGTTGACATTCTCGAAAACACGATATGCTAATAAGAATGAGAAAAAACCTCACTGTTCAGCTCTAGATTTTAGCTCTGAGTACACTGAGCCCTCGCATGCAAACAATAAATAGATTACATCGCATATCAAGTGTACTGAGCAATGATTCCGAGAAAGATGTCCATTGTGTATTTGTTTACATTTCCTCCAAGTTTCTGAGAAAATCCGGAATAATTGCTTGTCAATATGTTTTGAACCGTCACAGGTACTTTACGTCGTTGGGAAACTTTAATTTTTAACTACAGACGTGTATAGCTTCGTTCTTGAAGCAGCAAATATTGCTTAAAGAAGAAAATGCAAGTCAATTGGAAGTCACAATATACATATTACTGGAGTGTTAAGGTTAACTAACTTGAGCAACTCGCGCCAACGGAGGCACCAGAAGTCTGATCAAGCACTTTTAATTCATTCGGTCATTTGGTCACGCTTTTAAATAACGGTAGGCATGTTTGGGTTTACGGGACAACTGACCTTGGAGGAGTAAACATATTTTTAGAATGCTAACCGAAACAATTTCACGAGACATTCGAAATAAACAACAAAGTAGTACAAAATCAATATTCAAGAACTCGCTAAAACCTAAACATCACTTTCCGTTGACGACTCTAAGCAAGGTTAAGCACAAACCCAAACACGACTATTGATGACGAATATCGTGCGAGAGTTAAGCCATATTACAATGGTCGAGGACAAATCACTGAAAAGGTAAAAATAAATGTGTGGTCTTGCAGCACATGACAAACCAAGGGTCACAGGACTCTCACAAGGATTTCAAGATAATCTAACAGGCCTAAACAAATCCCAAACACTTAGTCAGAACATTTCTAAATTTAGTAGTTCCCAAACACTTCTAATGTTGGTAATTTAATGGAAAGTGATTAGCTGCCAATATACTACGCAAATTTCCGATTTTTAATGCACGAGACATATTAAATTCCGAAAGACACGTAAGGGCTTCCTTGAGAGCGGAATCAAAACTGATAACTTCACAATCAGAGTTCCCCAACTTTCTCTTTCTCACGAAAGCGAAATGCCAGAATGACGCTCAAATGACATATTTGGCTTGTGGTTGACAGCTAGAGCTTAACCGCACCAATCAGGAACTGAAGACAATGATCTTTCTCGGAAACCATAGAAAATTATTCATCATCCAGTATTTCCTAAAACTCATTGGGAAATTTCCCTGTTGACTAGTTAAAAAAGTCGTGTCGATTGAAAATCGCAATTCGTGGTTATCTGAAGACAAGCTAACGTTCTTATCCTTCTCAAAAGGAATTTGCTTTTTAAGAGCTTGATAGTAGGTTATGGCAACCGGCGGAACATCGTCACCAACTTCTGCTGGTCTTGGTGGACCCTCAGTGATGGATCTATCGAAAGAAAAAACGAATGGCACAAGGTTGGGAAGACTGATTATTGACGACGGAACAAAAGTTTTAATGAAATTCTTGCATTCCATGCATCCAGAGTCAACCTTACAGAACGCATTGAACAACAATCGCCCAAAGCTCGAAGAGCTGAAACGAAAGCGAGTAATATTTGATGAGCAATGGGATAAATTGTTTCCTTCCTCAGGTAAACCGTCAGACTCGAAAGAATTTGATATCACGCTTCTACACTTACTGCTTCGTGAAATTTGTCATCTATCGGCTCCTTCGACTGGATGGCACAAAATGCCTGCCGACTCTGATGCCAGCCCTGAAGCCAGCATCGTGCGTATCAAATGCTATAGAAATGAGCTTTGCCACAGTGTGTCTACTGGAGTTCCGAATGACGAATTCGAAGACAAGTGGTACAAAATATGTTCGTCTCTAGAAGTACTCGAGATTGCCGTCTATCGGAAGAAACTTCAGTTCTTGAAGAGTGTTACCATCGATCACGAAGCTCATTTGGTTGAAGAGGAACTCGAACAGTGGAGGAGGGAGAAAGAACTTGAGATGATTGGAAAAGTCTCTGAACTCTCCAGTTGTCTTCCTGATGACTTGCCAGAAGAACATATCATCGGCCGTGGTGATCAAATACAAGACATCAAAGAAAAAGTTGAAAGTGGAACGGCTCCTGTAATTCTGATCACTGGTGGACCAGGATTCGGAAAGACGACTGTAGCAAAGCGAGTGGCATGTGAATTAGCCAGACTACAAGATCGAAGAACTGTTTTCTTTTGTAGCTTATTATCAAAGAAAACGTTTAACGAGGTAACCATGGAAATGTTTAATTCATGTAGTAAAGTAGTTAACATGCAAGTGCTGGAGAATCCGGGACAGTGGCTTAAAGACTGGAGTAAACAGATCCATAACCAGGTCACTTTTGTTCTTGACAATGCAGATGGTGTTCTCGAGTCTGACGATCGTGAACTATTTCTTGAAACCTTACGTGATGTGAGAAAGTTATCGCGACGAAATGTCACATTTGTAATCACTGCGAGAACAACATTTGAAAATCCCGACTTGCCGTTAAAAGAGGTTAGGCTACCCCCGTTGTCGACTGAACAAGCCAAAAATCTCCTTGTTTCTCGGCTTCGCTCTTATAAACAGGATGTTCAACACGAGCTATGCAAAGCAGAACAACTTGTCAAATTATGTGGCTGTGTTCCCCTGGCACTGTGCATTGTTGGATCTCTGCTCTCAGATTTCACGGAAGAAACACTCATCAAAAACCTCGAGAGAGAACCACTGGCTGTCCTCGAGGACGATCATGGATCTGTAGAAAAGGCAATAAAGACGTCTTTCGATCTTCTGACAGAAGCTGAACGAGAAGCCTTTGTTCTTATGTCCACTTTTCAAGGTTCGTTCAGCTCAGTCGCTGCTGAGGCTGTTATGAAAGCATGCTCTATCCCTGGAATTTGGCCGATCAAGATTGTTCGTTCCTTGAAGAGAAAATCGCTCATAGAGCAGCCAAGTTCCCGAAGATATCAGATGCATCCACTCATTCACTCGTATGCAAGGAAGACCGGTCTAGAAAATGATCCCGACCTTTTAGCTGGAGGGGAAAAATTGGCCTGTGTCCACTTCATTTCTTGTCTAGCGAACAATGCCAACATGTACTGGAGAAAGGACAGCTGCAAAGAGTCTCTTGATTTATTTAACGAGGACAGGGACAATTTCGAGTACTTTTTACACATCTACGCTCAGAGAAGGAAGGACCAGGATGAGAAAATCGCGGAATGCTCTGAGACCTTTTTGGAAAGTTTTCCACAGAAGTGCATGTATTTGCAGAAGTGTCTCCCTCCAAAGATCTACGCTGATATCCTTGAACAGTTACTGGACACGTTTGACTCAGTTCTTGAACCGGTAAACT